ACCAAACACCAAAACCTGAATTTCAAGAGGTCAATCAAAAATAATTTAATCAATTGATATTAGTTTTAGAATTTAGATACAGAAAGGCAAATTCATATGAAATTCAAGACAACCCTAAAAAATTGAGAAAACTTAGGTCTTCCGTATACTGTGTGCAGATATTCTCTCATCCACGAAAATTCTAATTTGTTGATCAAATTCTAATTGTGATACTTGCTTGGCATTCAAGTGCATGAAAGAAATTGATCAAGTGGGTAAGAGCTCGAATTTTCTTGCTCAACACTTGAGTTCGAGTTTCCATAACTACGACAGCTCGTTAGGACTAAACCTACTCTTTCATGCCTTAGTTTTGGCTTCGACTTAAGTGCGGTGCAGTCTTCTGCAGATAGTTTTGTGGTATTGAAGGACAATACTTCTTGACAAATATATGGACTTTTCTAAAATACTAATTATTGCAAATGTGCGTTGCACGTGAATCATTTATATTTATATTTTATTTATAATACATGTGTGTGCTTAACATAGCATTATACACACTATTAACTTGACAATAGAAGAAAATGTGAAGCCTGACAAAAATAACTTTACAATAGTAAAATAGTCCTACAAAATTTAGAACAAATATCAAAACTACTTGTCTATCCAATTAGTATATTCAACTTCACATATATTTTTTTATTGAAAGGTGTATTTATTTTAACTTGAATCAATTTAATAAAAAATGCATGCAATCCATAGGCACAATTTCGCACAATTGTCTCGAGAAAAATGTCAGAATTACCCTAAAAGAGAAGAAGTTGATGCCAAGAATATATCATATGTTTTAAAACAAAAAAGTAACCTATCATTACTCATCGTACAATACTTAAATCTAATCCACTCTCATATTACATTTTCTAGTTTTAAACTAAGAGGAATCCACTGTTTTCAAAATAGATGGTTGCTTAACACGTGATTAGTAATCAAACCATGAGATAACCTAAAAATCTAATGCATGCATCAAACACTAACCCCATGATATTTTTTTTTACCAAAACCTTATCAATGATATTTTTTTTTGTGAACCCGGTCAGGGGCTCAATCCTCTTCGTAAATTTTTCCTTCTAGTGACATAAGCTATGAATTCAGCGGATTTTGCTCTTCACTAAAGATTGACTTATCTAACTTCATTTGTTTTTGTCCAAACCATCATAACCTATTTGTTAGGATAATTTGACACTAAATTGCACCAAATCGTGCCAAATTCACTTCACTCACTCATTTACCAATGTTAAGTAAACTCGTGCATAAAAATGAAATACACCGTGAGTTCAAATTTGAAAATTAACCTCTAAAATATAAATTAAAGTCATCTATTGCTCATCGTTCTTGATCTCCCACATAAACAAAAAGATTGTATTATGTATATGACTTTTAAAATATATTTTTAATTCTTCTTTCTCAAATTTTCACCATTGGAGAATGCATTAGGATATATTGACCAATAGACAAAAAAAATTAATTAAATACTCAAAAGAAAAAGCCTAAATCTTTACTTAATGGGATCAACAAAAGCAGAAATATTAAAAAAAATAAAAACAAAAAATAAAACAAGAGACTTCTATGTAAGTACGATGACGTCTCAGTTAACGCTTCCAGTAATTAAAAGTCGATCCTAACTTGAAGACAATAAACCTATGAGGAGAAAAACGTTGGCTTACCTTTCTGAAAGGTAATAAAACACACATACTCTCTCTCTCTCTCTCTCTTTGTGTGTGTAACCTCAGAAACATTGAATTTTGGTAACATAAACAGCGCGAAGCTCATTCATACTATCCTTTGATCCATCATTCTTGTTTATTTATGTAAGTCATCCCTTCCTTCTCTCTCTATTTCATTTTGAATTATGTGTATATCTACCAGCAAAAAGTTGTATCAACTTGCAAGTGTTGTGGTTTGAAACAACATAAATTAGGGTTTTATGACATAATTTTGTAAACAAAATTATGTCAGAGGGAATGGCTTAGCTTTGAATGACCTGGTGCAACACCTTTTTAACAAGGGTTAATCTCATTTTGCATCCCGAAAGATTGTTCGAATCTCAATTTACACCCTCAAAGATAGAAATTTGTTTCAATGTGCACCCCCAAAGATCAAAAATCTCAATTTGCACCCTCAAAAATAGAAATTTATATCAATGTGTACCCCAAAGATAAAAAATCTCAATTTGCACCCTCAAAGATAGAAATTTGTATCAATATGCACCTAAAATTAAATTGATAAATTATACCTAAATCCCCTCATATTTGTCAGTTAATCATTTAGACATCTTCACATTTAGAATATTACTCCTACATCTTATGACATTTGTGCACGTATAACACGTAACCCATTTTCATTGATATCTATTAATATAACCGTTAAAAAATATAATTTTATCCTAATAAAAAATTATAATTTCATATTACCCTTTATTTTATAGGTTCAATATACTATAAAGTTCAAAATCTAGTTTACCATTTGAATGTCTAATAAAATATAAATATTTATATAATATTTTACATATTACCTTTTATATAAATATCTACATTTTATTAGACATTCAAATGGTAAGCTTGATTTTCAACTTTAGAGTATATCGAATCCACAAAATAAAAGGTAATATAAAATTATAATTTTATATTAGGATAAAATCATATTTTTTAACGATTATATTAATATATATCAACGAAAAGTGGTTATGTGTTACACATGCATAAACGTCATGAGATGTAAGGGGAATATTCTAAATGTGAAGGAGTTCAAATGATTAAGTGACAAACATGAGGGGATCAAGATATAATTTATTAATTTAATTTTAGGTGCACATTGATATAAATTTCTATATTTGAAGGTGCAAATTGAGATTTTTTATTTTTGAGGATGCACATTGATACAAATTTCTATCTCTGAGGGTGCAAATTGAGATTTTTGATATTTAGGGGTGCACATTGATACAAATTTCTATCTTTGAGAGTGTAAATTAAAATTTTTGATCTTTGAGGGTACAAATTAAAATTCGAACAATCTTTCAGGGTGCAAAATGAGATTAACCCTTTTAACAATACAAAAAGCAATCCAACTCTGGGACGCCATAAAATCATACCTTCACAACCCTCATGCTAAGAGGATTCTCAAATAACTAATATTCTACATACTAAACTAAATCGTATGACTCTAACTAAAAATGGTCCATAAATACAACAATGGGGCACGAAATGTATTAGAAAAAATGCATATACCTTCAGTTTAGCCAACCTGTTGACAGAACACTAATCTAATGTTATAGGCTCACCAGGATTTGGCTAATCACCAGCGTTGGTCTAAACTTCCAATCTAGTGGGCAAGCTGATGCTGCAATGGTAGTTCTTTGTACAATAAAATTATTACATAGAGTAGAGAATTTATATTAAGTACTATTGATGAGACCTGGCTTCAAAAACCATTCATTAGCATTCCAAACAATTATAGACAAACTAACATTTGTGCATATAATTCATTTTTCTTTGAAAATCCCTATCAAGAATCAGCTGCCACCTTGGTGCAGTGCATTGCCCGTTGCACACTGCCGCAAGTGGTTTTCAATCAATTAGAGAAGGTAAAGGAAAAAAGATGTCCAGACATTGAATTTAAATTGGGCAAAAAAAGATATGTTAAAAGAATTCTTGCCACAAAAATTGTTGAAAACTAAACTAATTTTTACTCACCATAACTCTCCCTTCTTTTGAATTTCCTAAGACCTTTGGAAATTTGCACATTCTCTGGAAAAAAAATTGAAAATATATTAGAATGATGCCAACCTTGATATTTTTTAGATCATCTGAAAATATAAATCTAATTGTGCTTCCATCAATTACAAACTTGTCGCTAAACCAGAACACAAACCCATAAGAATATACCTGAATTTTCTATGATTACCACACAAAACAATGATTTTGTTTTGTCCATGACTCTTTTCGATCTGCAACCAACCCACCTAAGACCTACAAATTTGTTTATACTATAAAAATATTAAATAAAATCATAATCGACTTCATGGAAATTCTTGATGGAGTGATCCCTAGTATGAATTATCAATTAAGATCAACCGATGTAACACAAACAGGAATACAAACTTAAGACTCAAATCAGTAGCGTGAATCACTAATTATCAACCACCTATCAAAGATTCAACTCAGCAGCAAACTCATATCTATATAATTATCACGAATTTGTAAGAACAGTAAACAAAATTCCAATAAATCCAAAGGTCAGACAAGATTAGTATTCTAAACAATAAGAAAATAATCAAATCATTCGATGACAAAACCCAGCACAACCATATAACAATAGAGTCTTTTAGTCAAAGAACAAATTGGAGCAAACTCATCTATATAATCAACACGAAATAACAGACATAGGATACAAAATTTCCACTCCCAAAAAGTTGCATCTGTCATTGTGTTTTGTGATTTCCAATGATATACGGAATTGAAGACCTTATACGTTAACGTCAGCTGAACAGCCCAAGCAAAGAGTAAATTTGTAACTGGTAGAATTACTCGAATTATGAAAATTACCAAAAGTGGATTTTAAAACCACTAAGAGAACATTAAAGGGAGTGTGAGGTCGAATTAATGCGCAGGAGAGAGAGAGAGAGAGAGTTAACGGTTGTAGCATTGGGAGACAATAGGTTGAGCATAGAGTCATGAATTAGGTTTAATATGTAATTGATTAAGAAGGATAAACATGACATAGTTGTAGTATTGGAGGGTAAAAGAGGAAAAAAAATATTTTTCATGTATGCTGATATTTTAAGTAGTATAGATATACATATGGATAAAGAATAATAATATACAGAAACGGATGCAATATTACTATTGTAAGTAAATCTTATCCGATAGAGTGTGTGTGTGTCTGAGGGAGGGGGGACTGCGGAGAGAGCGAGAGAGACTTTCCAACGAATGAGTATTATGTCAAGGGCTTAGTAATTGCCTAAAGCTTTAAGTCTGGATCATAGGACCACCCGAAGCTCCGATACCACCACCTAGGATGAATATATTAGTATAGTCAGTATAGTTTATGATATGTTCTATTCTCATTTACTTATATGTTGCTGACATTTGTCTCGTGTGTGTGTGTGTGTGTGTGAGAGAGAGAGAGAGAGAGAAAGAGAGAGAGAGAGAGAGAGAGAGAGAGAGAGAGAGAGAGCTTGGACAAGCAAGTGTATTAGTAAATGTCTATGTACCTGCCTAAAGCTTTAAGTCTGGTTCAGAGAACAACCAGCAGCTCTGGTAATTGATACCTTCATACCACTACCTAGAAAAAAATATGTACATGCTTTTCTTTTGGTTTGGTCAAGTGTACATATATTTTATTTGTTCCCATGTGTATATGATTTTCCTTTTGTGGTCGGTTACTGACTTGATGTTTTCTAAGATTTGATATCACTGGTATCTAATACTTGAACTTGAACTAATATCTTGATCTAATGATTTAATAGATGACGTGTTCCAAATAAAAAAGATTAGTAATTATAATTATAATAATGTTATTAAATTAAATTAATAGTCACATCGTTGAGTCAACTTATTAGGCTAGACTATGAAGTCTCGATAACATTACTCATTTTTTACATTTTTATGGTATTCGCAATAAGTTGTTGTACGAGCTTCAAGATCACAATCTAATTTTGGGGTAATTTTAATTTTTTTTTCTAATATTGAATATATACGTGTCACTCAGTCTCTATATACTAAAATAATCTTTTAATTTGTTTTCCATTTAAGACCTGACAATAATGAATACAAAATTGCTAAAATCATCTGTTTGGCACATGAATTATATCTCGAATACAAAAAAAAAACTTTATTTTTTCTAATTAAGCACCCTGATTCTTTAATTTGAGGTAATGTGAAACATCTATGCAATTTTGTTGGAGTTTGTATTGGAAAGAACAAATGTACTATTCACGTGTAGCTGCTACAGAAGTATTGTAGACAAATCATAATATAAACTTAAAGGCCACCAAAATACCGTTAATCCATTCTTTGTAACTTCCAATTCTTGTTATATGTTTTATCACATGGCTAATGTGGTTTTATGATGATGTTATTTTCGCCTTTAATAGTCTGAAACAAACACAATTTTAGATGGCGTTGATCTTGATTGGGAACATGAATATTACTCTGAGTACACATATATAAGATTTTCTTTAACATTGTAATCTTATATTAAATGTTAGTTATTGTGTTAGGAACCTTGTGTGGCAATTAGTCCGCACACCCGTGATTGCGTTTATTTTAGGTAAAACCCAAAAAAAAGCTGCAACTATTTTTTCAAAAATACCATTTTAATATTTATTAGGAGTGCAATGTGAATTATTTTGAAAGAGATGTTGAAAGCCGTTGGATAAGTCTATTTTAGACCGTCGGATGAACTTATTGATGTCTACCCTGTTTTATATTATAGATTATCCATTTCAATGTACACATGACTCATTTTAGTTATGAGCAATTCTATTTATCAAGTCTTATTTGTTGACTTAATTCTTTACAACCATAGATTTAGTGATCAAACTCAATGTTGGATTTGGTATACTATCAATCTAATAGTAGCAGCGAATTAGATTTTATAAATTAACTCAATAAATTAGGCTTAAATTTCACTATTGTTTGGCTATCAAGAAAAGGAAGAAGAAAAAGAAAAAAGGAAGTGACAAGTTTGTTTTAATAATTTCATAATACTAAAAAGCTTCACTCCCACAATAGTGATATGAAAGCATAGAGTTTAAATTTGATTTCCATAGGATATTATATATACATAATTTCTTCTCTTGTACAATAGCATAGTTAAGCAGCCATGTTTATTTACTATAAGAATATAGCTTATCAGCTATCATTCTGCATAACATGGTCCCTTGTTTTCAGTTCATAGTTCATGGAACTGTGTAACCTGCAAAAACAAACAACAAAAGACAAAACAAACCAGTTTAAGTACAAGCTGGAAAAAGACTAAAGTGCAATTAAGTTGTTCATCATGCTGTACTTATGTTATCCATTAGGCAAGATAATTTTTGAGACGACATAATAGCATGAAATAACTTCGAATTAGAGGTTTACAATTGACAACATCTCAATATATACTGAAAATGACATGTCCGTTAATAACAAAAATTCTTAAGTAGTGTCAAACCTGAATAACCCAGTATTATAATATAAAAAAAAATTATTATATTTATCATTTTTTTTTCAAGTCTTTTACTATATATTGTACAAATTCTTTACTTAGTTTTGTAAACACGTGAATAAAGTAGATTTTTGTTTTATAAAAAATCTGTAAGGGGTTGATTTTCTTGAGTCCTAATTATGAATTTCTAATTCACAAGTCATGCATGTTAACCAATATGACTTGATATTAAACAGTTGGGTAAAAGACTTGACTAGTAATTGACACATAAACCTTAAATATTGATACGAACGGTGGCTTTAATGGTAGACTCAAAATGATGTCCTTAAATAAACGGGTTTAGACTTGACTAGTAATTGATATGAACCTTAAATATTGATACAAATGGTGGCTTTAACGGTAGACTGAAAATGATGCCCTTAAATAGGCAGGTTTAGACTTGACTAGTAATTAACATAAACCTTAAATATTGATATGAACGATGGCTTCAACTATAATGATGTCCTTAAATAGGCAGGTTTAGACTTGACTAGTAATTGAGGTAAATCCCTGTCCTCTAGTCTCGTACTATGACTTTTTTTGGTGCACTGTACAAGACCAATAATCTATTACTTAGGGGAAATTAAACAAGGAAATGATGATGATATGTTCTTACTTCCACATTTAGTTCCATGGGCAAGTGCTTTGCCACAGAACTTAGCTACATAGGTTGCTTTTTCCATGCTAATGATCTGCTCAGCATCCTTAGTGATATGTTGGCAAACGCAGGGAAGGTCCACCGTCTTCACGACGCTGCAACATCCCGGAGACGGATTGACTTCCGGCCCCGGCTTCTGGACGTACCTTGAACACTGTTGTATGAGTCCCGTGAAGTCGCCTTGGCACTGGCCGGAGACCACGTTGTTGTCCAAAATTAGAATTCCAACACACATTATAGAGATCGCCAAAACGGTGAAAGTACTGACTACGTTAGACACTGCCATTCTTTATATTTCTCTCTCTCTCTCTCTCTCTCTCTGTGGGTGTGAGGGGGTTGCAGGAGTTGCATGGATGTATATATAGGGGGTTGAAGGTGTGAGGGATCACGTTGGGAGTTTGTGAACAGATTTACGTTACGTTACAGGTTTTTCTACTTGCAATTTCATGTGATCACCAACCTTGTTTACAGGGGGCAGTGGTGGATTTTTCTCGACCGTTTCAGATTTTTTCTTTTGAAGTGCTCAAAAAACGATAAATTAAAGAATTAAAGGCCAAAGAAAAAAAGAAAGAAAGAAAAGCTAATGAACACTCGTGTAAACTTAAACTTCTTGAATTTGAATTTTAGTAAATTTTTAAGATCAAGTTATGAGAGATTTATCCCTCATAAATACTCTAATCTCAGCGTAGATGATTTGTTTTTAACCAAAGAAGAGATAGTCAAGATACGTATAAATTGATCTAAACAATCCTGAACATTGAAACCAAAAATAAAAAATAAAAAAAAAGAATATGGGCTTGTTTGCTATGAACATAAATCAATAAAGCTGGTTTGAACGTATATGTGAAATTGGATTTTTCTATACTTTAGCGTCCACAATTTGGCACCATCGAATACCCTTGGTAATAGTCACGCGAGACATGGGTCAATGTTATGAACCAAAGCCATAAACAAAATAATAACACAATGAAATAAAAAATATAGAACACACAAAATTTATGTGATTCGGTTCAACAAGTAAGCCTACATCCACGAATGAAATACAGTGACAAGATTTCACAATCAAATGTTCAAAATTACAAGGTTGTTCTCGATAAATGAAGCAACAAGAGAATCTATTTGCTCTATCTCTATTACAAAATTAATAGTGCCAAAAAATATTTTTTCCAATAAAAAAAATAAAGTAAACCCAAATTTTCTTCAAAAACATAAACATATCCATTTAGACTTGGAATACAAGTCATACACAACAAATTTCCAATAAGTCATTCAACCAAAGTGAATTTGAATGCTGTTTTTGCCAAATACCCCCAAGGGTACAACTGAAATAGTGCAAACACTAATCAAGTCTGATCAGTGCTTGAACTTGAGCACTACTACCAACTTAGTAAACATATATGTTGGGTTCTCCGCTATAGCAATCTTTTTCACTGTGATATTAACTTGAGCCATAACCTCATGGATGAAGTAATATATAACGTTAATGTGTTTGGTCCTTTCACGATACATTTGATTTTTGGTTAACTGTATTACACTTTGACTATCACAAAACACGATGGTTACTTCCTTTCCAAACCCAAGTCACTCACCAAACCTCTCAACCAAATTACTTCTTTAATTGCCTCTGATACTGCCATGTATTATGCCTCTGTGGTAGACAAAGTAATTGTAGACTGTAAGATTGCCCTTCAACTTATAGTGCACCCAAATAGCATGAAAATATAACTTGTCAGAGATCTCATCTTATCTAGATTACTCGCTTAATTTGAATCAACATAACTAACAACGGTAGAATAGAAACCATCTCTTCTAACAAAGACTAAACCAACATCTGTAGTGTCTCTCAAATAACTATGTATCCATTTCAATGCTTGTCAATGAACCTTTCCGGGAATAGCCATGTAACGGCTAACCACACTAACTGTCTGTGGAATATCTGGACGAGTGCAAACCATATCATACATGATACTTCCAACTACACTAGAATAAGGAACACGAGACATAAATTGTTTCTCATTCTCACTCTGTGGTGATAAAATTGTTGAAAGCCATAAAATATTCACATGCTTCGAATTCTGAATCTCAAACCTCTCAATAATTTTCTCAATATATTTTTTTTGAGATAAATATAGTGTACCTACTTTCCTATTCCTGTGAGACTCTATATCCAAATTTTATTTGTAGCACTCAAATCTTTCATCTCAAATTCTGAATTTAACTGTTTCTTCAACTTTTCAATCTCTAATACGCTCTTAGCAACAATAAGTAACTCATCCACATAAAACAACAAATATATAAAAGAATCATCTAACAACTATTATGATACACATAATTATCATAATTACCACTAGAGTAACCATGATCTACCATAAAGGTGTCAAAATATTTATACCACTGCCTTGGAGTCTGTTTCAGACCATATAATGATTTCTTTAACAAGTAAACATGATCTTCTTTACCTTGAACAATAAATTCTCTAGTTGATGCATGTAGACAGTTTTCTCAAGCTCACCATATAGAAAAGTTGTTGATGATGCACAAATCGATTTTATGCATCACCTATCGAGTAATTAATATAGATAATAAAATGCAATAAATATGAAGATGAGATCAACACAAGCAACACACAGATATAGAGTGGTTCAGTCAAGGTGACCTACTCCACTTTGAAGGGCTTTAATTGTTTGGGTGTTTTATTATCGTAGAAGTGTGGAGAGCTTAGGTGAAAGCAATGAGAGCTCAAGTGAATTAGGTGTGAGATAAGGTGCCAGATACAAGATGTAAGAGATGCCCCCATGTGTAGACAGGGCATACAATATACATACGTTTCCTAATAGATTGAGGCGCCCTATTAATAATAGAAAGATTAATTTGGTGGAATTGACGCCATCCTCACAACAGATGAGGCAATTGCAGAAAGGATGTGGAGATCTCTACAAGACTAAGTATGAAGATGGCCTAGCTGACTTCCTCAATTCAGGATGGCATGGCTCCAAGATGGCGTTGTTGACTGGGCTCTTGGCGAGCCTAGCTAGATCCGGGTCTCTTTTGGACTAGATCCACTAGGGTGGGCCCACTATTTAAGTTGGGCTTTGATTTGAGCCAGACCCATTATTTGAGTTGGGCCTTGGGCCGAGCCTATCAATTGTGTGACACCCCAAAGTTTAGGTGTCTGTAATTACCCGGTTGATCACTCATCAACCCGTCGAATACCCATGGATACTATGTAATTCGATATCATGCCGTTATGCCCCATTTACCAGGATCCATAACTTAACAAAATTTGAACAAAATCTATTTTGTACGGGGAGCTCTACCCAAAATGCAATATGTGCAATCATACAACATTGACCACACCAGGCTCATTCATCCATACTTAATAGTATAGTATCAGATACTATCATAATCATCACTACGTATAATCATTCATAAAAGAATAAATATCTCAAAAGAGCCACAGACCGGCTCTGTCGTCAAAGCGGGCTCATGACCTCGCCTTCGGTGGACACCTATGTGATACCTGAAAAATGTTCCCATAAAGGGTGACCAACACTCAATAGGGCAACTCCTATAGAGAATACCTCTCAACTCAAATGCATATGAAATGTCACATGCAACAATCATTTCATGCATTCATTCAAATATATCTATTATGAACAAATATCATAAATCATATCATGTCATGAGATGAGACTCATGCAAGCAATATCAACACCGAACCCCATCCTGAGTTCCCACAACACATGCAATGTCATGTGTATGTATCGGGTATTCCAAGCCCCTGTCATTGGTGTTATGTACACTCAATGACTAATTAATTTATTTTTTTGTGTCTTTGTGGAGAGATGATTTATAGTATTACACCAATGAGATACCACACCATCAACGAATTTTCATGACATCCCACATGCGACTCTATTTTCGTGGTTACACATTTCTGGAATGGCACCGCCGAAAAGTGTATAAACCAAGTAAGGGGATCTTGCATCTGAGGTAGAATCTAACCCTTCTTGTTATACATTGACACGTTTATCCATTTAATTTTCTATGCGACTCAGCCAAACCTTGGTGCAACTTACCCGAGCCCACAATCAACCACCTATGTGGTGATTGATTTCATACCATGCACACACTGCCACCCATGTCAATGCCTATGAATGTAGTGCAATTCATGCATAAAATGCAATACAATGTGCAATTGACTTTGATACCATTTACAATGTCCATTACATAATAAATGAAATATAATGACATTTTCAACACAATCTCAAGCATGTTATGTAAGATAATCAACTCAACTAACATACTTGTATTCACTTAGGCATTTAAACAAATATCCAGAGGGCACATCAATTTACACAACTAGCATGTTTATTACTTTCAACATAACAACATGTTTATTAATTCTATAAATATAAACACAAGTCCACCACACTAATCATGTGTTAAATAATCATTTAACATACATATTATTTCATAATCACATAACAAGCTAATAATTTTATTAAACTTGATATGCCATTAAAACATCAAGTCATATTAATGTACAATTAATATATTTTAAACCACTAACATTAACTTACACTAAGTTAATTATAATAGGATTTTACTAATTACAAGGTGAAGGGGCTAGCCCCTTTTATTACACGTGTAATGACATTAAATGAAACCCACGTGAGGTTGACAAGATAGGTCACGTGACGGAGAAATCATTCACACAGCCTTATAAACCGAGTTGTGCTGATCGATAAGTTTGGCAAAGAAAGAAAGAGTTCGGTTATCTTTATGACCGAGTTCATCAATCTATTCAGCTAAGCGAGGAAAGAGCTCGGCTTGTGCCAAGCTGAGTTTATCAAAGTGTTCAGGAAGGCAATTGAAAAGAATGATTTGTGTCAAACCAAGTCCCTAAAAATTTTTGGCAAATATCAAATGTGCTCGGTGTTCGATATGTCCGATTTGTTCAAAACAATAGATGGAAAGATAAAGATTCACCTATAACTTAGTTAATTGGATAAACAAATCACCAAAATTGTAGATATCAGGAGGAATTGTTGGAGAAATATCAGCAACTTTTCAAACTGAATCACTAAATTGAAGGAAGGTGTGCCACCTTGAATAAAAAATCACGGAAACCCTAAAGGGATGACCATCTATAAAAAATAGAAGAATCCAAGGTGAAAGGTACACTAAACTCTCCTTGTCTTCTTGCAATTGTCTAAGTTCTATTACTGACTTAAGCATCGGAGTGCCTTCGATCGAAGCACTTAGATCTTGGGCAGTTTGTTC